GGCCTCCGCCTGGCCAAACTAGGCCATCGCTTGGAGTAATGATGATGCTCTTGATTCCGTCGCTGAGTCAAAATGGCAACAAGGAAGCACAGGAAAAAATCATGGTGATGAATAGCCTTGATGCCTCTGTGCATCTAGCATTGTCTTGGGATGCTATCCTACCACAATATGGCGCCCATGTCCATGAGGCATCAGCCCACGTTTACCCTGTTTTAAAAAGCCCGTATATGGTGCCATAGTCTTGGGATATTCCCAAAAGCAGAAGTCTAGACACTGCGCGATATCTGAATACAAATAACTTGCAAAAGGAACCCTCGTGCTTTGTGAAGTCCAGTCCGTGCCCGGTCCTCGAAAGCGGCTAGACGGCCGGAAGAACATGACTAAGTACCTCGGTACGGGTTTTAGTTTGAGGGCTAACCGGTTCGGGCTCAGGGTTTTGGAATGAATGTTTGAAGGCAGAGGTGGGCATTGAAGCTTGGATCACGTCCGTGAACTTCAGGGGAATACATTGTGCCAGGATTGTAGGGTTCACCTCCCCAGGTCCTGATACCTCTTGCCTCCAAAATCCAAGCGAAAGCCCCATCCGTTATCCTGGCATCCCTTTTATGGGTGCCAGCTACGAGCACCCTTCCAGAATTTCAAGTTGAGAAACTCCCACACGTTTCGCCAACAAACCCCTCAGCAAGACTCGTCCCAAGAGCAAGTCCCCCTGTCAAACGCATACCTTCCGCAAGTACAAGTTTTGCTGTCACACCCTTTATTCCCTTATTCACTACAAACCCTGAACCCTGCACCCAGTGTAATGGCCATATAATCCCTATGTATTCCCTATCTAGCCCCTTAAGAGTTGAGTTGGCTTAGGGCCTGGCTCATTGCCCTCCAGAAGCTCTTTGAGCGACAGCTGCACAGGGCTTTGAGTGGGAAATTTCCAAAGGTTAGTGGTCCCTTTTGGGCCCTTGTGGGAGCGCCTGGAACAAGCTGTGGTGAGACTTGATAATATGTTAGGGATGTAGAAGGAGGATCCTGTTTGTTAGCAATACACATTTGAATAGCACAACCCTTCCGGACCTGCACAACTGACTGTACAGAATCTTATTCCGTCTTCTCTACAAAGCCCTCTTCCCCTCGGCTGCTGATCTCAAGAACCAAACCTACAAAAGCAAAGCCTACAACATGAAACCTACAACCCAAGATCCTAAAATCCTAAATCCGAAACCCAAAACAAAAAATACAACCCCAAAAGCCTCAACCCCCCCCCCCCAACACGCATTCCCTGGCACCTGGCCCCCAGTGCTGGCTGGCAGAGTGAAATCTGGCGCGGGCTCCCCAGGTTGGGCCTGGTCTCAAGAAAGGATGCCGTTGTCAAATTAGGGTTTAGGGTTCAGGATTAGGGTATATGGCGATTATATACGGGTTGTATAGGGATTGTTTAGGGTAATAAAAAAGAAAACGGAAACTACTACGTAGGGCTCAATTAGGGATATTAATGGAGAATCAAATGGAAAAGACAGCTGAAAATGAAAGGGAAGCTACTAGGCTTGAGCGGCTTGGGGTTTAGGGGTAATAGCACAATACTGGAGAATTACATGGAAAATGGAAATGAAATGAATTCTGGGATTGCATAGCTTTTCTTATGGGGATTCAGGTTTCCAAAATTGCAGGCCCCCTTAGGGTCCGTGAAAGTATATGGAATATGGGGGGAGATACGTACGAGACCCAAAGCTGTAGAATGATAACTCACGTGGTAACACTAGTCACTGCAGTGCCAGTGGTAGCAGTAGTCGTAATAGAAAACAGCAGCTGCAGCTACAGTAATGATACTACTAGTAGCAGGCGCAATACTGATGGAGTAAACATACCCTCAACCCTAAACCCTATTCTACTACTTTCCATTGTCTTTTCCATGATCCCAATATATCCCCAATATAAACCCTTTAATCCCTATATAGCCCCTATCTAACCCAAATATGACCCCCATAATCTAAACAGCTCGCAGAAGTTGCACTCGAAGCCACAGCTGAAGTTTTAAGATGTCTCGAGCAAGCGACCGTTCCGCGAGCGCGGAATTCCAAGATGAGGCCGGGAGGAGCCTCCAAGCTGCGAAGGTCTTGGGACCCTCATACTAGTAATATCTAGAAATATCTAGTAATATCTAGTAATATCTAGTAATAATAGTACTGATAAGATTACGAATTTTAATGGTAATATTCGTGCTATCTTCTGATATCTGAGGGGCTCCCGATATGATTGGACCTGCACTTTGCGTGCACTCTTGAGAAGCTTGGCGCATAAAGCTTGAGGGTTGTATGATACCTCAAATGTTCAGTCGAAGATTTCACTCCTGTCAGACAGCGATTAGTAGTGGAGTCAGGGTTCATCCACACACCCTGCAGCCGGCCTCAGCTCCTTTGATGTCATTCCTGGCAACTGGCTGGGGACAACTTGGGCGGAAACGGAAACGTCAAATCTCTCGCAAGGAAAAAAGTACCTGCACAGAAGGTCTGAGATTATCTGAGAACGTCTTTCAGCACCAAACGTAGCAAAGCTTCCAAAAGACCAACTCATTTTAAGCATCCCCCAATGCCGCCAGCGGCACGCTGCAGAGAGCTTCTTCATCACGCTGTCAACGTTCTCCACCCTCCTGAGCTGGCCTTCCTCGGCGGCTTGGCTTGCGCTTCAATGAGCCCTTTTGCGAGGGTCTTCGTAGGAGTTCCGGGAGGGCCGGTGACGCCCCTTGCAGCCCAGGGGCCGCGTAGATGACGTTGACACTGGGCTTCTGCGCAGTGACCTTCAAGGTCACGGATCACTGGTGCTGTCAGATGTCACGTACTGTCTTATGAAATCTGAAGCTATCTTCCTCTGGTATCATGTGTACGATGCAGCCGTAATGCGCACTTACTTCATCTTTCAGTCCGAGGCTGGGCCCGGGACTCACTGCGAGTTTTGCTATGCTGCACAGGTAAGTCCCCGACGAGCTCATCGCCAACTCGCAGTCCCTGCCCCTGGGCTATACGCAAGGCGTACAGTCACCAAGCAATGCCAATGGCTGATATTTGCGCAGCTAGAAACATTAATCATACCACTGACATGACAGAGAGTTTCAGCCGACCACAGCAGCTGAGCAGGGAACGTAGGCAATCCCGCCTGGCTTGATGAAGACCACTTTGGGGTTGTTCCTAGGCAACGCATTGTGGCACACACGTGCCTTGATCGCTTGAACTTACACGCCGAGTGCTTTGAGCGGAGAATGTGCCGTGCTCATCGTTTGGGGCGCGGCAGCAGCTGAGTGCCACCTAGATCATCTCCGCCACCGCCCAGGACGAAATCGTCACCTAGCAGTGAGTTTTGGGCGCGTCCACAACTGCAATCAATTGAAGCTACTGGCGTGCCTCATCCCGGATCCTTTCTCCCGGAAAAACATCTCGAGCCCCCATTTGCTGATGCAAGAGCAGTTAGCAGGAGCCCAGCATGTTGTGAGTCCAGTGGGGTCACAGGTTGAACTCTCCATCTCAACGGTGTAACTCCAGGCCACTACAGTCACAGCTTTCCAAGGCTGCAGAGCGGAAGCAAGTGCTACTCCACGGAATGCCTAAAGTTTGCCTTGGGGCCTGGCGCGGAATTGCTCCTGGAAACTGGACCTGGGACAAGTTCTTGGAGCAAGCGTAAGGGCCTTACAGAAGAATTTGAAAGTCGGCCAGGGCGGAATCCATTGCAGCATGACTTCCCAACCTTTGGTCTAATTCTCGCCTCATGCTTGATTATCGAGCTTCTCCGGGGCTTCCTTCTCGTGAGCCCTTACTTTTCGTTTCCATTGAAAGCAGATCATCGTGACAAACGCAAACTAGATGTACAGGTGCATGCCTTACACATCCCTGCCTGCTTGTCAGACCCACCCTGCAATCTAATCCTCTGAACACAGACGTCGCCGAATACGTTTTAACTCAACTGGCTGATAGACCAGCACCTACGAAAAAATCAAAGCACCTTACAAGTCCAAGCATCTCACATTTCAGAACTATGGAGTCTTCTGCCACAAGACAAAGCCAAAGTTGTTCAAGAGTGAGTATTCAACTAAGCACCGAAAGCCTTCAAAAAACATAAGGCTTTCCTGAGGCTGCAACGATGAAGGTGTCCCCAATACGAATGGTACCTACATCGCGCGCATCTGATGGTAAGTCCCATGATTGGCCATGCGGTAAGTACGTAGCACGCATTGCAACATGTAAAGCACATCATCCAGGGCGCTTATAAGCTGCTATGGTACAAAGGGCAACAGCAACAGCAAAGGGCCTTCTTTCTGCTCAGCCAAGGCTGCAGGCCCCAACCTCGTCACACATGCACAGAAGATATTCGTTCAGCGACACACTGCCACCAGGAACTGTGTCTAGAATCCTGAAGTGATTGATTTGCAGACGTGGTATTCGACGTTCTGGTATACTGCAAGAAAAACACTGCTGGAGGTCTCTTTGAGATCCCCATACCAAACAAGATCCAGCCGAAGCTGTTCCGTCCAAGAAATACGAATGTGCTAGAACTGCTTCCTTGCGGAATAGCAGTGTAGGTCTCAGGCTTTAGGGTTATTACGAGCTCAGCCCTCAGCATCATGTTTGCTAAGCCTGCCGAGGTCGGAAGCAGCAGCTTCCGGAAACCAGACCTCTGAAAAACGACTGGTTTGGGGTTTCAAGTTGAGCAGGCTTAGGATTTGGCTAAGTCAAAAGTCTTTGAAGGCCAGCAACTCCAGCCCAAGGTATCACACCCCGTTCCGACCCTGCTGAAGGCTTCGTTAGACACTCCTCATGTTGTCGAATCTTATGGCATACGAACAGGCACTTGGTTTGCATGGGGCTGAAGGGGAGCTCACTTTTGTGGTACATGGGATAACTGAGCTCCCAACAAACAGTACTGAGTACTGTATCCCAGACAGACAGCATGCTAGTGACTGCTAGTGCTTGCGAGAAGCACCAGTGGCTGCTGCTACCCTCTTATCTCCATGCCTTTTCTCAAGCAATTTCTGGCGAAGCTATGTACAAAGCAGTTCGCCACTGCTCCTGCCCAGATGATGCAACCAGCACGTCGCAGCGCGGCTCCACCACCCAAGATCTCCTCACCAAATGTGTTGAAACGTAGCTTGAGGAGCTCTTAGGGGACAGTCAGTTTCCAGCAACTTCTAGATATTCGTTTTAGCCCCAACAGAAATCAAAGAGCCATAAAGAATCCCTGTGCTGGATTCCACAATCTCAGAAACCCTTACACCCCATGCCAGAGAATGGGCTGTTTTTGCGGCTGAGCGTCTGGGTCTCACTCCACTGCTTGGTGGCCTCCTGGGCCCGGAACTTCACAACCTCTGCAGCTGTCTCTGTGGTAACTGTTCTTGAGACATACTTGCTTGCCGTTCTTATTCTCAGATGATGACCAATGTAACAGCCACCGGAATTGCAGGTAGTCCAAGACACTTTTTCTTTTCCATTATCCCAATATAACCCCAACATACTATGCTTTCTTTTCCCTGCCACGGCACTGCTACCTCCACTTCGCCAGGACGAAGGGCAAGCTTGGTGAAGCCTTTGCCATGGCCAGTCCGGGTTGAGGGCTAAACAGGGGCCATATTGGGATTATACAATGTCTATGTATGATATTGTATGATATCGGTTGAACAATAGAGAATTACATACAAAAGCAGATGAAAAATGTGAAATAGAAACTGGGCTCACACAGTGCTTCACAGGGATTTGCGTTCCCGACAATTTGGGATCCCTTTTTGGGGGTTCCATGGTAAGGATCATGATATGTTGGGGCCCACGTTGGGGTCTCCCTCTTGACACAAACTACCAGATGGATTGAGAGTTGAGGGCCTTCAGGTTCAGGGGGGCCTCAGGGCTTGGGTCTTCAGGGGCTTTAGGGTTTAAAGTTTGGGGCTGGGGATTTGGGTCTAGCTGTTCTCATGAGTAAGAATGTTATAAGGGACAAGGAACAACAGCCTGTTGCAAATACAAGAAGGGCTTGCCATTAGCATCACTACCTTCATTCATCATTGTCATCCTCTTCTTCATATTCACGTCTAGCGTGTTCTTTGCCATATTGCGATTAGTGCGCGCTTGCTAGTTGTGCGAGCATAGATGTGGTGGGCAACGCTACGTTCTCAGGACTATACCGCAAAAGGCTTCTCAGAATTCATCAGCTTGCGCCTCTCCCCGGAGGTATTTGTGTCAGGTAGGCAAACAAGTCCTTTTCAATTCAATGCAAGCTTTCCATATCAAAGCTACCTCAGAGTAGGGCCACGGGCTCCAACCTCCAAGCCATAGCAATTGCAAAACCCTAGAATTAGTCTCCTAGCTTCTGGATCTAGCCCAACTGCGACTACTGGAGTTCACCTTTCTCGAGTTTCAACTCACGTGCTGACTTCAGGAATTACAAGGACGTTTCAGAAGAATTGGGTTTTTCTTTGAGTGCACCCAGTTTCCAGAAACAACCACTGCTGGTAGTCTTAAGCCCAAAGGCCGAGAAGGAGCCGCCAGCATCTCTTTTCAGAGCTTCGCTCCTCCAAGCAAACTCGACACTTTTTCCTAGGGTTTAAGGTCTCTTTTCAGGGTGTAGGGTTTAGGGAATGTGGCTCACCGAGTCAATAATTGGGTCAGTACGCGAAATGATGTCCAACAATGTTCCGGCTCGGGCAGTTGGATTTTGTTCAGAAAGAACCCTATCAGGGACAGTGCGCGTCTGTTCCGGCATTTTACGTTTGGCATCCGCAAAAAAGTAAAAAATTTGGTAGTGTGGAGGGTTCTGCAAGCCTGTCAGCTGGAACACAGACAGATTCTGAGATCAAAACCCCCTTCCCTGACCATTCATATCCCCAGCATCTTGCATGATGAAATGGAAACCCCTGCCCATGAAAGACAGGTTTTCATGTCGTAGGGAGGGATGTGGGTTGTCCAGTAAGAGGCTTCCCTAATGCTGTACGGCTGTTCATGAGGCTTTAGCTGCCTTGGGCATGGTCTTCCATGATATGAAAGTTTGGAAATTTGGGGTCAAACAACCCTGAAGTTCGGTTTTCAGACGGGCGTTCAATTGGGCCCTTTATGTTCAGGGGCTGCAAACGCTATGGAACAGTTCTCTTTGATTGCCACCAGTCCATCAAGCAAACTCATCACAAAGCCAAGCCACGGCGAAGACTTGTACAACCTCCTTGCCGGAGTGCGATCCGCAATTCCGCACATGGACAGAAAGTTCCAGCTCAGCATCTGGACCAACAGGCTGAGTCGGTCCTCAGGGCTGCAGACATGCATGTCCTATGCCCAAACCAGAAATCCCAACTCAGGAAGACAGGGAGGGCAAAGCGTGGACTGCAGAAAACACGCACCACTGGGCTGTAGTTTGTGGCATCCCTCTGAATCCTCGCAGCTCTGCGCTGGAATACTCGAAGGTCGTGTAGGCGAGCCCATAGCCGAAGCAGAACTGAGGCGCAATGGACTGGCTCTGGAACCAGCGGTGGCCCACCAAGATACCCTCCGAGTAGAAAACCTGCGTCCCAACGCCTGGGTACCGAGCCGGATCGCCCTGCGTGGCTGTGTCCTCCAGCTTGTACGGCCAAGTGGCCGGAAGACGTCCACAAGGTCCCCAACCCTCTCCGCACAAGATTCTGGCCAGTCCCTCAGCAGCCTCCTGGCCACCCAGCCAACACGCTACAACAGCACCCACCGACTCCAGCAGATCGGGCGGCAGCTGCTTGGGGCATCCAACGTTTAGGCAAACGATGGTCCGTGGCTGGACGGCTGTGACCGCTCGGACGAGATCCAGGCCTGGCTGGCTGAAGCCCTGGTCGCGGCCCTCGGACTCGCCGTCCGGGCTGCCCAGAACGATCACCGCAGCATCGGCCGCAGATGCCAGGCCTGTTGCCTCTGCATGGAGGTCGGCTTCCGAAGCCCAAGGCTTGTACCGGAAGCCCAGATGCATTCGTGAGGGTCTGATCGGGCCCGGGGCCCAGAGCACACAAATCTCCACCTGTTCGCCTTCCAGCAGCTGAACCTCCGCGCGGTGCTCTGTCCCCAAATCCCCCAGGAAGCCACCCATTTCCAGGCTCTCGCCATCTCCTGCCCAACACCCACATAAAGCAGCCCCACAACACACAACCAGAAGATGTCAAATTCCGCCGAGGCTCCCGCCATGTCAATGAGACACTCGCCCTGCACCATCAGACGGAATCGTCCAGTCCCAGCCAGACTTAGCTGATGTCTGCCGGTGCGCTCCGGCGTGAGGTGACCGCGGTAGCGGGCTGCCCAAGGCCCACTAGGATGGAACTTTCGAGATGGTGGGTCTTCGTTGTAGTAGACCCCGGTGAAGAAACCGAAGTTCAAAGCACGGATAGCTTTGACTGCACCCGGCAGACCCTCTGGGAATTGATCCCAGGAAGCCGTCTCCACGAACTCGGCCTGAAGCAGACCTAATAGACATCAGCGGCAGGTTTACTGTGAACTAGCTGCGGCACAAACAACACCCAGGCACCTTCACCTTCCACAGCTCGTAGCTCGGAGGGCTTGGGGGGCGGCAGCAGTCGAGTGGGAGCGTCAGTGCCCCGTGCCTCAGATGACAAGTGGATAAGGTCTGCGGATGGGAAGATGTGTCCGCGCATCTTTCAGTCAGCCAATCCCCCAACCAACGCCATCCAAGGCAGCTCATTCACAAAAGCTGAGCTGCATATGTCACGGCACCAGGCCCCAGCCGCCGCTCCAAAGCTTCAACAAGATCAGGGGAACCTGCGTTCTCCTCGACGGCTGCACTTCCACCTGCCAGGGCAGGATTGCCAACACAAACGCACACCGACACCAGGATTCTTCCGGCCTCCCTGCGTGATAATGCGGCGGCCGGTAGGTCCCAGCACAGCCACACGTCCGCGGCGGAGGGGCAAGGGCCCACCTGAGCCAAGATCTGTCGGCCGGCTTCATGCAAACTATCCAACGACCTCCCAGGCCTGCCCCAATTTTCAGGAGAACCACAGCTTCAGCAGCTGCTGATGCCAGGAGCTCCCGCAGCTCCGGCGAGTTCGGCGAGGCGGCGGGCGGTGGAGGCTGCGGGGCCCCCGGATGCAAGCCTTGCAGCTGGTCCGTGAAAACTTGAGTCTCTTCATGTCTCTTCAGTCACTCACTTTCGCCCAATGTTTGACGTTTCCCTCAGCCTGCCTAGGCGAGCCATTACTTTGAGGACTGCCAGTGCTCGCGGCTTCGTCATCGCTGCGCGTGAGTCAGGATCCCCGAAAAAAAGGCGGCTCAAGCGGTCCTTGTAGAACATGCTCGGTGCCTCTGGCATTTCCAGATCCAGTCCCGCTTCAAGAGAACCCCAGACGCTGTGGGTTCCTGTCCAGTCGCTGATTACGCAGCCTTGGAAGCCCCACTCTTGCCGCAAGATCCGCTGCAGAAGGAACCGATTCTCAGAGCAGAAGGTACCATTCACACGGTTGTATCCCGTCATCACGGCCATGCAGCCTGCTTTCACAGCAGCCTCAAACGGCACAAGGTACACTTCGCGTAGCGCCTTCCTCAAGTTGGCAGGTCAAGGGAATTTCACAAAGTCCAAGGTCAAGAGAGCTGAATGAAAATGCTGAGGGGTGCTGGGACTGTATTCTAATTCCAGGCTAGCTTCTCTGACACCTCAGCACTGATGTAGCTCCGCCGATGCTCTTGGTCATTGGCAACCAGGTGCTTGACACAGCATGCCACGCCCTCTGCCTTGTAGGCAGTGGTGAAGGACCGACCGATCTCACGCTTCATTTGGGGTGCGATTTCCAGGAAGCCGGCATAATGCAAATGGAAGGAAGGACAAGTCCAGCCCCTAAGCTGGCTCTGACAAACTCTGACAGCGCTATCCCAAGGCTTAGATTTAATCAGCCTACCATGACAATCTACGCATCTGCCCCCCACCTGAACGCCCTCAATGTAGGCGGCCGCTAGGGCAGCACTGAGGTGAGGGTCCTCTGAGAAGCACTCGAAATTGCGTCCTGTGTGAGAAGGCTTGGAAACCTGGTTCTCGCAGTCCCTTCCTTCTCGGCTTGCTTCCATGCCCTGAACAACAGCCAGAAAGCCTACCTCCACAAAGATGACGAGTCAACACTTCATCTGGGAGGAAGCCAAACTCTCTTCAGCCCAAGAAACAATTCTATTTGTTTGTCGAACCACAAGCGTGCTTGCAGCTAGAATTCCTCGAAGCCATCTCTGATTTTCCGAAACAAGGTAGTCTCCTCCGAGCGGGTGCCTCTGCAGGTTGACTGTAGGGCCCAGGAGGATCTGCGCTCCCTTCACCTGCCGCTGAGGAATCAGATCAATACGCTTTCTGCTACGTTCCTCTTGTTACTTCCACTGTTCCTTGACGGTGCATCAGTCTAGCAGGACTCTAGCAACATTGCTTTTCTGCAAGGCTGCTCTCAGCAGATAACATCAAAAAGCAAGCCTGCAAATCCTTTCGCGTGCCTTCGTCTCCTGCCCCAGCAAAGCACCAACCTTCCGACCTGCATCCAAACAAGCAAGATGCCGGTTTTGGTAGTGCTGCACTGGCTTGCCATCTGAGGGAGTCTGAGGTCCAGACACAGATCAGGGTCCCACGTAGCACCCAAGGCAGCCCCACAAGGAGTGCCTGAGAGTGCAGCTTTGAGCTGATAAGGGCTTTTTTATATAATCCTATATATTCCTATACAATCCTCATATAAACTTTATCTAATGCCTATATAACATATACCCAGACTGCTTCGCAAAGCTCTCTGAGCCGGGCACAGGCAGAGCTGAACCCAGGCATCGGTCCGCGTGCACCACTGGGTCCATCGGTCATCTGCAGAGCAGGGAGGCCCAGACGCGGCACCCCAGCGTTGCTCCAGAAGCCTGCAAACTCTGCAAGCTCTGGTGGGAGGTGTGTTCTGTTGCACGCCTACAAACTTTGCCGATCTTGCTCAACAGGTCCTCGCCCACCGATCAGGCCCGAAATCTCGTCCAGCGTCAGCTGCTCCAGCAGCTCACGGGCCGCTGCATCTGCAGCTGCCCAGGCATCTGCCACGGGAAACATGTTTTGGGACGTCCGTTTTCCCCTTGCCCTAATGTGCAGCCTCCTTCATCTTGGCTTGCTGCAGCTTGGACGCACACCGGGGCAGCAGCATCTACATGCCGCAGCAGGGCCCTGGAAAGAAGAGAGGTGAACAGGTCGACACGGTGCATCCACGACTTCTTGCAGCCAGGGGGAATCCAAAAGAATCAGGGCATGATTCAGCTGCTGGCCTCATGTCTAACCAAATTTTTGCAGCACCGAGATCCCGAAATAGCAGTTTCTGCAATATCTTATTCGAGGTTGCGGAGCCTCATGCGCCCTCGAGCACTGCAGACTGATGTCATCTCTGGCATGGCGCTAAGCTCGGGCTTGCGAGGGCACGTGAATTGCAATGCAAAGTGGCTCTGTTATAGTAAAGACTAGGGACTAATGACTGCTGACATTCGTGAAACCGTTGCTGGTCCAATCTTCAGAAGCCTGAGTGCTTAGACAAAATCTTTGTCTGCGTTGAACACCCTAAATTGTAGCGGTGCCTTGGACTTGCTCAAATCAACCCGTATGTGACTCCAGCTCAAAGTGGAGGGCTGAAGGCAAGCAGCAGGCACTTTTGCAGCATGTTAGTGGTAGCTATCAAGACTTCCCTTCTAGACGATGCCCATCAACCAGTCCCAACATGTCCACACAACCCAAAAGCTGGGATTTCTCTCTATCTCTCGCTGGCAGGGGCGCTGAAAATGCAGGCATGTCAGGGCCACTGCCGGTTGGCGTTCGGTGCTGAGAAGGTCACTGAGGAGCCGAGCACCTTTGGTGATGCATAAATTCGCAGAAATCTTCCTGGTGTTGGGTACCAGTAGCGGCAGCGCTTCCAAAGTCTTGTCATGTTGATGGCTCAGTGAGGAGTAATTGAGCGGGCAAAGCTGCTGTTTGGCGCTTCCATGGACATCTGCCACAATGACGATGTCTCTTCAGGGTTTCTCTCACATTGAGGCCCTCATCAAGGATCAAGAGTTCAGAGTATGACCTGAAAGCTCCAGGATCCTAGGCTTTGAAGCAACTGCTTGGAAATTCTTCAGGTTTGGACTCAGGGGTTCTTGGGTGTTTCTTGAAGGTCATGTGTGGTGCCAGAGAGTTCAAGCTTGAGGGTAAGCGTCTCCTCGAGTCTCCCGGAGCTGGCTCAGATTCTTACAGCTTACTCGGAGCCATGAAATATCTCCGGAGACAGTCTGGAAGCATCGATCATACTTCTGGCAAGATGACGGTCAAAAACCAAAAAGGAACAAAAACACACACACCTTAAACACAAGGTTGCCCACTGCAACAGAAAGAAAGAAGCATTTAGATCATCATAGAAAATATTGACGAATGCAGGCTGGCCAAAACCCCGGGAAATCGTGATGATCATCCTCACTGTCATAATGGTGCATAAGAGTACTGCAGTGGTGAGCATGTTGAGAAGTGGGTGAGCTGCACAAAAGGCCATGAGGGCCGCCTCAAAATCAAGGCCAAGTCCACACAATTCTGGGGGTCCCCATGATAAGGACATATATTAGGGTTATATTAGGTGATACTATGTGGGGCTATACCCTAATAATGGAGAATCAAATAGAAAAGAAAATGGAAAATTAAATGGGAACTGGGATTATAGTATAGGGGTTTCCCAAAATTAGGAATACGTTTTTGGGGATCCCTATAATAAGGACTATAGTATATTTGGGTCTATTTTGGGGTACCCATTATTTTGGGAAATTACCATATCGTATATTGGGGTCTATGTTAGGGTTCCCCGTATTCATGGAAACTCTGAGAAGGCCCCTGTTTGCGTATTCATAACATCCAGAAGGCACCACAAGCGCAGCCAGCGCCATGGCAACGCGGATAAGGCTGTCCTGGCGGCAAAGTACATTGAGAATCTACATGGAAATTTCTGAGGCTGGGAACTGCGAAACATTTCAGGATCATTAAGAAAGATGTACAGATTATTCAGAGAAACTCCAAGAATAACCCCAGTCAAGCCCCGTATACAAGCCCCCATGTGGCATGGACTGAAAATCTGACAGTCCTACATGAAGTGGTGTAACGATACTGATGAAGCAACTTGGTGTGCTGTGTACATGATCCTTACACGCTTTAGCTGCAGTGCAATTTCTGAGCCAAGGTCACATTTGTGAGAAACCTACATCGTGCCTGCGATGTAAAGTATCACGACGAAGTCTGGTGTGCTGGCCCTGCCCTATAACAGCCTTACCACTAAAAACTTCACGGAAGCCTGAAGGACAGTGATCCAGCTCGTTTGAACAAAGATCAGGATCTAAGGCATGCGCATAGAAGGTATCTCGTCGATGGACAAGACAGTTCATGAGCTGGGATTGTGCGTGGGAACTACTTGCGCTGGGCGTAGTCTGATCCAAAGAGGACTTCGAACTCAGATAGAGCCTTCCCACCACGCACTTCAAAGAAAGCCCTTCGCGACACTCCGTAACCAAAACAAAACAACCTCTAGCAAGCGTCTGCGATGCCACTGGACCTTGCCATGCCGAACACGCTGATGCGAGTGCCCTTGTGTCCGACCTGGGATGTCAGTCCATTCACCTTCCTATGTAGTGAAATCTTTGACCACCTGTGAGTATTTCTCATTACAGGCATGGCAGGATGAAGGAATACAGACAAGATGGAAAACACTCTCTTGTCTAAGTGGTTGCATGTCTCCCTTGAAAACTGCAACAAAAAAGAAAGTGCGAATGCCTAGACATCCAGGTGTGCACTTTTCAATGCACGATTGTTAAGCTGTTGAACCTTATTGCACCGTGTGCCGCATATTGAGCGCGCTGAGTTGGCTGCCTTCACGCACGAGAGCCATTGTAACCTATCTACGTGCCTGAACTGTAAAAGTGAGAAATCACAAATACCTTATGATTGGTATTATTAAGAATAATAATGGTAATATTGGCAATAATATCAGTAATATTAGTTATTAAAAGGGTTACGTTGGCGAGGCTGAAGGCAATGACTCGCAGTCCACCCCGCAATTTTGCTGCACAACTATGGATTCTGAAAGTTGCGCATGCTCTCTCCTGGTCCCAGTTACAGCGTCATGTGAGTGCTGAACAGCTGCATCATCCACGACACTGGCAGTGAAGGATCAAGCAGTGCGCGAACCAAACCCTAAATAGTAGTTCCCCACCCTCGCTGTGGGGTTGTTAGATTTTAAAGTCTATGTTGTCCTCGCGCTCCGCCCAGAGCCTGACTCCATGGCCCAACCGCAGAGCATCCCTGCGGTGCCCAACCACCAAGTGTGTGCCCAACCGCAGAGTATCCCTCCAGCGGTCAACCACCAAGCGCAGAGTATCCCTCCAGTGCCCAACCCTGCAGTATTTCTGCAATGCCCATGGCAACATATCCCTGCAGTGCCTAAACCCACAGCGTTTTTTTAGCGCTCAGCGGCTGAATCTCCTTGTGGTGCCCAGCCCTTGCAATGCC